ATATATATACAGAGAGAGAGATAAAGAGAAAGGGGGGGATAAGAAGAAACAAATTATTCGTTAATAAATTATTTCTTGATCTGTTTTATAAATAAAAGCATAACAACGCGTAGGTAAACGCAACTGATTAAGGTCCTAATTTCAAAGCAACTTAGATACCGCAGCTATTAAACACCTCATCAAATTTGTTGATTGTCATGGATAATAATAAATTAATTAAAAATTTTAAAAGCTTATATATTTCATTTTTAATTAAGCAAACATACATTTTATAAAAAATAAAATCTACCCTCACAAAAAATACAAAAAAGAAGGTTCTTTATGCCCGTTTTAATGTTTCATAAATGTGTTTTTATTTTTTAGGAAAGTACGCATAATCATTAAAAAAAGAAACATTCAAAAATAGAAAAAATAAAATGTTAAATTCAATAAAAATTTATTTTTTAAAAAAATATTCTGGAAATAGAAAATAACTTATTTGAAAAGAAAAGCAAATTTCACACACACTTTTTTTCATTATATAACTGAAAATGTGATTTTTTCAATGCTAAATTATGTAATAAAATTTCTTTCACGGATTTCTTGATCTGTATCATATGTGCTCTAGTTCTTTGTAAACCAATATATTGTCATATCACATCACCATATGAAATAACACTTTTTTGTGAATGACAGGTCATATTAATAACTTTTGAGTTTACAATACTTAATTATGACTGTTAGGTAGGTTTTGGCTAAGTTAAGTCTGAGATCTGAATGGAAAAAGAAGTAAAATATAAATATAAAAAAAAAAACTGTTTTTAAAAAAACCTAGTGCTTGTGATTTTTTTTAATAATATTTGAACCATTATTACTATATTATTTAAATTCATGAATATATGAAACAAAAATAGGAAGTATTCATTGATTTTAGAAATTAGTGGAAAAACCACTCCAGATGAGAATTTTTTTTTTCAAATGTTTAACAACTAAACCAGTTGCCCGCTTAAAAATCCAAACAGTTTTTTTTCCAGCAAGATGGCATTGGTAGTTTATAATTAAAGCTCCACTTTGAATATAAGATATTGAAACTTTAGCTTGTTTGTTTACCTTCACAAAAAATCTTCCTATATAATCCACTTTTTAACGATGATGTGAGAGGAAAGCAATAAAAATAGGAAAAAAAGCTGCGTGTGTAATTAGTACTAATTTTTAATGTTGCGATATTTTTCTAATTTATAACCTTCTTACTTTTAGGTATTTGTACGTTTCACACTTCCGTTTATAAATGGAAAATTTAAAAAAAAAATTATTCCCGATTTCTTCTTCATTTAGTTGTTTCCGTATGTGTTGAATTTTGTTATCATACATTCAGCACTTGATTTTGTTGGGCCAATTACATATTAATCTATTGTTTCTTTTCCTTTAATCGAAAACAAAAAAATTGAACATTAAGGAAGTCATTCCTTTCCTTTATTCAGCTTAAAATAATTTTTGCCCTTTTTCTAATGAAGACCACCGTCAGAAGTTAAATTTTCACACACAATTAAATTTTATTACAGTTTAAATCAGCCGCAGTTTGAATTTTGAAAAGTCTTTGACCTACCTCAACCATCTGCATAAGAAATTGGCATCCTTGTTCGTTTTTATTTATTAAAATGATTTGATTTTTGGGATTTTCCAGGAAAGTTGGAGGAATGAGAATGAAAATCCGAGTTTATGATTTTCAACTTCAAAGTTTATTTTTTTTTTATTTTGAAGTTTAATTATTGTTATCCTCTTGTGTTTAGAGGATTGAATATGGTTCGGCTTATTATTTAGTAGATTGGCTAATTTTTTTGTTAATTTTTTTAATAGCAGTTCGACTAATTTCCTTATTTTGGGAACCACCCCTTGCATGGGTTCAATTATCATTTGGCCATTCCAAAGTAAGTTATTTTCAAGTTTTAGTAAAATCCTTTGTCTTTTCTCAATAAGCGGGAGAATGAAATGGATTTTTCTACTAACTCATGTTTTTCGCGCCCTACTAAAGTGCCAACTTCTATAAATCTCGAGGTTGAGGACATTGTCTCTGAACAATTGGAATATGCGACTGATAGAGGTTGTATGCGTGTGCGATTTTCTTTGCCCCCAAAGGGCAGAATTCATTATGAAAAAAACCTAATTTGTTAAAAAATAATCTAAATAAAGCTGTTACTGTACCGGTAAATATAATTTTGTGCATGCACACTTGCAAAAGAAAACTAAAATTAAAACGGAGTTTTTGGAAGCTGCCTTCGAAATCAGCAAATTATGGGAATCGCTATTTAACCGAATGTTCCAGCAGAAAACATCACATCCGAATTTTTATTACAAGAAATCGTGATTGATCACTCCCTCGCCGCTCTTGCATCTGAACTTTCCTTCAACAACATAAGAGTTTGCAGTATTCACTGATTTACAAAAAGGAGGTCTTCAGCTTTGTCTGAGACTTGCAATATTACGGTTTCTGGCACGTCAATGCTAGCTGAAGTAAAGTTTTGATGCGCCCATCTCTTTTTGCGACCGCCAATGATAGAGTACCAAATGTTTTAAATTTAATCTTCAACCAAAATTTGTTCTGCAAAAATCCAAAGCTGTTCGTTCTGTGGTGGACAACATACTACCTCCGAATGTGTCAGCAAAGTTGTGTTAATTGTGCAGAGAATCACTCTGTTGATACTTTAACTTCCCCAGCTCGGCTGGAAGAAAGCTTAGCTCTCAAGTTAATAGTTTTGTTTGAAATTTATTAATGTCTCTCACGTAGGGATGTCTCTTCACGTGTACTACTTTCGTCAAAATGCAAAAAGGTTTTGTAATTTGTAAAAATTAAAAGTAAAGAATATTTTAGTTTGCCCAAGGGTGGCAGCAAATACTTTTCGAGTTTTTCCTCTCTATGATGTTTTTATTTATTTCTTTTGTAGTTACTCACAGGCTATTGCTCGGAAGTAAATTTTTTTTTTGGAGAGGATTCCAATACGGAAGTTATTCCAAATAAAATGAATCATAAACGATTTTTTTTGTTTTTATAAGATGAGAACTTATTTAGTTTTATTATTTTTGTTTCTCGCTGATTTATGGTTTCAAATGGTGAGTGGTGAAATATTTTTTACCAATTTGTCTCATCACAAATAATTTTTTTCATTTAATTCATGTATTGCTTATTTGCGTAATTAATAGAATTATCCAGAGAGTCATTATTTTATTAATTTCTATGAGTTGATAAATAGGCACAATGTGAAATGCATCGACTGAGTCATTCGACGTCATAACGCATTTGCACTCAAATCAATGTTAGATGTGAGCACCTTTACATAATTTGTTTAATTTTCTCACTAAATACAATCTAATAATTTATTTATTTTACTCAATGATTCTACTGAACATTTGAAGTTAACATCTGAATTACGAGAATCAAATTCCGATAAATGTTATTCACCACTTTTCCAAATAATAATTGAGTAAAGTAATGTGGAACAGCAATCAAATATATGACCTTTTCTTTAGTTGAAGAAGGTATTCTATTTATCCAAAAACAAATGAAAAGAAACAAACCCACCCTTTAATTCTACATTTTTTGAGCGAAGTAAACTATCAAAAACAAACATATTTTCTAATATGTACCATATAGATTATTTTTGTATAGATATAAGCATATAGATTATCCAGCGAAAATTTGCATAGCCACGAATTTAATTAGTTGTTGCAATCAGAAATAGTTTGCTTCTCTTGATTGAAACAAAGTAAACATGAAATGCTCTTACAGAGGTGATAACTATCACGAATTATCAGTAATCATTACTTCTTATTTATTTACTGTCGAGGAATAAATATTACTGTTTTTGAGAATTTCATAATGATCTCTAGAAAAATAGTTTTTTCCCCTATAACTATGGTGAGTTTTTTTTTTTTTTTAATTTTAATTTTTTTTATTTTCTTTGTAGCGGATATTCTAAAATAAGTACTACTTAGGTGTTACTTTTTATTAAATTTAGTAAATTCATGTATAATAATATTTGAATTAGGTAAATACTTATATAAAATTAAGTAGTAAGAACTATTCATAATTAAGCAAATTAGAGTCTTGCTAACATTATACATATTATTGTACTGATTGCTGATAGTTAGTTAAGAAAATAGGCATCTCTGCTCTTATCTTTAATTTCTTATCTTTTCCAAATAAATTAGCTGCCATGTTGAAGGAAAGCTTAGTTATCAAACAATAAGCAAATACCCCTAAGAAACAGAATAAATAATGAAATCAAAATCAGATTTTAAAATTAGTCTTACGTAAAAATTAATTGTTAAAACTTACTTTCACATTCTTTATTTGTTGTATTAAACCATTTTCTTCCATCACATTTACAATAAAAAAAGTCTTTAAATGCACATTTTGCATCACTGCATTTTGCAGTGCAGTTTTCACAGTTATCTCCATATATATCAGCAATGCATTTGCATTCATAGTTTCCATCTTTCATTGTACAATTTCCTCCATTTTTGCATGGGTTTGATAAACACATATCAATAGCTATGCAAGATAAAAAATACAAAAATTAATTTTAGTGCAAATCATTCGTTTTACATCAGGAAAATAATCTTTTATTTTATAAAATACAATTCGATTGACATTTATATAAACTCTTATAATAAACTCTTCCCTAAAAAAATGTAAGTTTTCTTTAAGGTTTATCTGAGGTTATATTGGGGTGCCAAGATTGATTTGAGATTTATTCGAAGTTAATTTCAAAAACAACCTTCCAAAGTGTATAATCAAGGTGTATGGAGTTGTTTTATGCACATTTGAAGTTGTTTTGAGTTAATGCAAATCTACTTCAAAGCAACCAGCTTAGGGATATTGTTTTTGAGGTGTGCAGGTTATTTTTTCTACCCTTCAAACAAATACTTATATTTGTGATGTGAATAATTTCACCCGATCTAAACTAAAATTATTTATGAGTTACATATGAGGTTGATTTTGTTAGTTGTAAATGAGGTTGAAATTGAGGTTTATTAATGAGATTACTTTTGGTGCAAAACATAACATCATCTTCTACCCAAGGTGTAGTGTTTTACATCTGTCCACATCACAACAATCTTATAAATACCTTATTTTTTGTAAGGGTTTATATTAGAAAATATTAATTATTCAAATATTTAGTTTAAAATCATAATACACTGAAAATTCTTCGTTTTTGGTTTAATAATGGAGGGTTATAGTTAAAAGTGCCCTATACATCTGGTGAGTGGATGAACTTTATAATGTATGTCTCGCATATAAACTACAAAAAGAAATTGCTGCGAAGAAATTTACGTCTTGACTGTTAGGTGGCGCTTTTAATGGATGAGGAAGTATGTTATTCGAAATTTAGAGTGGTTTTAAAATATCAGTAATCACTGATCAAAATCCACCATACAATGCCGCAAAGGAGTTTTTAAGTGTATGCTGCAAAGTAGAGGGGCGGATTCAGCTTTCAAAGATATTGAATCGTAAACCATGATATAAGTCAGTACTTAATACATTAAACTCCTTTATATTATACCCATTACAGAATTAGGAAAATCTGTTAATCTGTGTTCACTGTGTACTATCATATATGATTTCCTCGAAATTTTTTGTACCAATCGTTTCATGTTATAATGATAATATAAAGGTTGCGCTAAGAATTTGTTTTTGAAACGTACTTCCCGATGCGACTAATTGAAATTTGGAGCGTTTTTTTTTCCCGTAAAAGGTGACGTTTTGTTACGTGATATTAAATATAATAATTTTTTCGACTATTACATAAGCAATAAAAAAAATTTCAATGCTGAAACATTTGCAAATTTTGGTCACTTTTGGTAAATACTCAAAACCTAATTGCAACACCATGAAGGACTTACGCGAGTGAGCTGAAAATTTCAGGAAATGCAAAGTAGAGCATAATATGCAAATGATTAGAATTTCAGACCCGTAGCGCATGCGTATGCTGAGCAGCGCCCTCTGAACGGCGGATGGATCCGAATAAATAGACGGCTGTAGCGAGGCGTGTATGGTTATCGGTGGTTATCTGCTAGTGGTAAACGTTAGCTCAGACGTTACTTATGCCTCTTCGACGAAAGAGAGCGAGATTTCAACAACTTACGGAGTTTGAAAGGGGGAGAATCATCGGCCTTCGTGAAGCTGGATTGTCTTATCGTGCAGTAGCCGCTCGTGTGCAGCGTAACAGAAGCACAGTGATGCGTGTTTGGAAGCAGTGGACGGACGAGTGTCAGACAACTCGGAAATCCGGGAGTGGACCCCGAAATGTCACGTCAGCTCGCGATGATAGACACCTGGTCCGCATGGTGCTGACAGACCGTACGGCTCCCTCTAGACAACTGGCAGCACAGTGGTCAATAGCTACAGGTGTTTCATTGTGTGCTTCATCAATTCGTAGACGTCAGCTGCAGCGTGGACTGCGCGCAAGGACTCCTTTATACAGGATCACCATCACGCTAAACCATAGCCGCCTGCGGCTACAATGGGCCAATCAGCATAAGGACTGGCGTGCTGATTGGCAGCATGTCGTGTTTTCTGACGAATCCCGCTTTAATTTGTGGTACCATGATGGCCGCATTCGTGTCAGACGCTATGCCTGTGAACGCCACCTTCCGGAGTGCATTATCGAACGCCACAGTGGACGAACACCCGGAGTTATGGTCTGGGGTGCCATAGCATATCATGGACGATCTCAATTGCTACGAATTGTGGGTAATCTGAACAACAACCGGTACATCAGTGAAGTTTTACAGCCCCAAGCTGTTCCCTTCCTTCAAGCCTTGCCAGGCGCTGTATTTCAACAAGACAATGCCCGTCCTCATATTGCTAAGACTGTTCAATCCTTCCTTGCATTGCGACAGGTACAGCTTCTTCCTTGGCCTGCGTATTCCCCAGATATGTCACCGATTGAACATGTGTGTCATTTCGTTGGTCGGTGCCTCGCTCGTGATCCTCGTCCTGTTGCTTCTACAGACGAACTTTGGGTACGCATACAAACTATATGGAATGCTCTTCCTCAGACAGACATTCAAAATTTGCTTGACTCCATGCCACGTCGTGTAGCAGCGCTTATTGCGGTGCGTGGTGGCTACACAAAATACTGATTTCGATCTCTTGTTATTGTTTGTTTGCTTTGAAAGAGTAATCATTTATTTGTACCACTACCACTCAACTGTGTAGTAAATTTCCTTCAATTATGACGATTCCTTCATGGTGTTGCAATTTTCACAAACAGGAGTTTATTTGAAATTTATCTATTTTCCTTTTTGTCATTTTTGATGAATTCAAGAATATTGACTTCTTTACTAGTAGAGTTAATAATTTTGGTGATGTCTTTAAAATCATAAATTTTGTTGAGAGCGGAAAAAGTGTTAACCATTTACCCCATAAAATTACACCAATTGTACGTTTTTATTATTTCAATCTAACAAATGAACCACAATGAAAATTAACGCTGTTTTTTAAATTTTTAAATAGTAAACAGGGAAACTATTCAGCAGAATAGTTTTCTTTATATAAAAATGATGATTTTACTGCCAACATAATTTTTTTTTTCATTTTCACTCGTACGCATACCATTTTCAAATATTTGCATTAAAATTGCCAAAATTTACTTACGGGTTGTAGACGACGTTTCTGTTGCTGCAATAAAAATTAAAGAAAAACATTAATAATGACTTTTTAATATTTTAAAAAAACATGCAAGATTTAGTTCAACTAAACGAGTGTGTAACATATATATTGAATAAGTTCTTAGTTGCTTTAAATAGTTTAAAATGATCAACACTGCAACATTCAAAACTATAAAAATTAGTCCATAATAACAAAATTTTTCAATAAGGTAACGATTTTTGCAAAAAAAGAAAAAGACTGAATAAATTTTTCATAAAATATAAAAACAATTAATAGAATTGACTGAAGTTAGAAGAAAGGTGGTATCTCTCCTAAACAAAGTAGGAATTTTGAAAAACTTTTAGAATTGGAAATAAAAATGCTCCCTGCTTCCAATGTCGAAATTTGAAAATCACATTTGGGATTGGATTTATAAGACAGAGAGGCACTGACGCCCAATGAAACTCTTCCCTTCATTTATTAATGTCTTTAATATTACCTTTGCACAGTTTCGACTCTGTATCTTCTCTATATCCCTCAATACAAGCACCGCAAACATACTCCGATTTTTTCTCTGGCTTATTTGTGCAACTTCTTTTTCTATCGGAGCATTCTTCATTTCCCCCTTCATCTCTACATCCTAGAATCTCTACAAATAAATAACATTTAACTATTATCGTAAAGAAAATTTTTTATTTATATTCAGTACAAAAATAAACTACTAGCAACCAAAACCTTACTTTTCGAAAATTTAATATGTGTACACACATATATATACATTTTAAATAATGTTATCACCGTTTGACAAAAAATTACAGGAACCTAAAGTCTAATATAAAGCCTTCCTGATTTTTTAAAAAAATTGTACGCAAAAAAATTAATAAAATAAATATTAAAAAAGATAAAATCGAAACGTATATTTAAAATGAGGAACACACTTTCCGTAGAATCTGGACAGGAAAAAAAAACAAGGACAAAAATTGTTCTTGAGAAATAAAATCCTTTCTGATTTTTGCTAATACATCCGTCAAGTTTATATATGTATATACTTGAAAAGTATCTAATATAGACAGCAAAGTCCTTATTTATTCATTTCTATTATTTTCATAAATGTGAAAGAAACAGAATCCACCAAACATTACTTTATGACAATGGTTAATAATAAACATTAACGAAAAAATTCATTTTTCAGACATTTCTCCTAAACAAAGTAGGAATTTAGAAGAAAAAAATTTTAGAATTGAAAATAAAAATGATCCTGCAGCGAATGTCGAAATTTGAAAATCACATTTGGTTTTGAACTTATAAGTTAGAGAGGCATAGGCACCCGCTCAAACTCTTTCCTTTATAGATATTATTTCCTTTATCATGTAGGTATATTACCTATGCATAGTTTCGTCTCTGTATCTTCTCTAAATCCTTCAATGCAAGAACCGCAAACATACTCCGCTTTCTTCTCCGGCTTATTTGTGCAACTTCTTTTTTTATCGGTGCAGTCTTCATTTCCACCTTCATCTCTACATCCCAGAATCTCTACAAATAAATAATATTTAACTATCATTGAAAAGAAATAATTCATTTAATATTCATTGAAATAATAGAATATTAGCTTCCGAGGTCTTATTATTGTTGAAACTAATATTATTTTTTGTTTAAATCAAGTGTTATCCCCTTTTGACAAACAATTTCAGTGAGCTCATTTCAAATAAAACAGTCTCGTTAATTTGATTTTTTTTTTGCAAAAATTCTACTAGAAGAATGTAATAATTTAATAATAAGAAAATTAAATCTAAACGTATTATTAGAACAAGGAACTTTCTTTCGGTTGAATCTGGACAGGAACGAAACAGGATAAGAAAACCGGACAAAAAATGATCCAGTGCAATAAAGTCCTATCTGATTATTGATAATCCTTCTGTCGAGTTTAAACATGTATATACTTGAAAAATATTCAATATTGAGAGTAAAGCCTTTATTTATTCATTTTTATTATATTTCATAAATGTGAAAGAAACAGAATCCTCTAAAAATTACTTCATGACAATGGTTAATACAAAACATTTAAGAAAAAAATCATTTTTCAGACATCTTTCCTATACAAAGAAGAGATTTTGAACAAATTTTTGAATTGGGAAAAAATTGCTTCCTCTGGCCAGTGTCGAAATTTGAAAATCAATTTTGGCATTTGAATTATAAGACAGAGAGGCACTGGCGCCCAATGAAACTCTTCCCTTTTTTTATTAATATGTATATTACCTTTACATAGTTTCGTCTTTGTATCTTCTCTATATCCATCAATACAAGAACCGCAAACATACTCCGATTTATTCTCCGGCTTATTTGTGCAGCTTCTTTTTTTATTGGTGCAGTCTTCATTTCCCCCTTCATCTCTACATCCTAGAATCTCTACAAATAAATGATATTTAACTATTATCGAGGAGAAATAATACAGTTAATATTCATTACAATAATAGAATTTTAGCTTCTAAAGTCTTATTTTTGTGAAAATTAATATAATTTTTGTTTCAATTAGAGGTTATCACCTTTTGCAAATAAATTTCTGGGTGCTAAATTCAAATTAAACAGCATCCATGATTTTTTAAAAATTGTAATAAAAAAATATAATAAGAGAAATAATAAGAAAGATTGGATCTATACCTATATTTAAAATTTTGAACAAAATTTCGGAAAAATCAGGACAGGAAAAAGCAGAATAAGAAAAAAAAGGACTGAAAATGCTCTAGCGAAACAAAGTCCTTTCAGATTATTGCTAATACATCTGTCGAGTTTATATATTTATAAACTTGAAAAGTATCAAATATAGACAGCAAAGCTTTTATTTATTCATTTCTATTATTTTCATAAATGTGAAAGAAACAGAATCCTCCAAAAATTTCTTTATGACAATGGTTAATACTATACACTAACGAAAAAATTCATTTTTCAGACATTTCTCCTAAACAAAGTAGGAATTTAGAAGAAAAAAATTTTAGTTTTGAAAATATCAAGTATATACTTGAAAAGTATTAAATATAGACAGCAAAGTTTTTATTTATTCATTTCTATTATTTTCATAAATGTGAAAGAAACAGAATCCTCCAAAAATTTCTTTATGACAATGGTTAATACTATACATTAACGAAAAAATTCATTTTTCAGACATTTCTCCTAAACAAAGTAGGAATTTAGAAGAAAGAAATTTTAGTTTTGAAAATAAAAATTATGCTGCAGCCAATGTCGAAATTTGAAAATCACATTTGGTTTTGAATTTATAAGATAGAGACGCACAAACAACAGCTCAAACTCTTTCCTTTATAGATTATTATGTATATTACCTAAGCATAGTTTTGTCTCTGTATCTTCTCTATATCCCTCAATACAAGAACCGCAAACATACTCCGATTTTTTCTCTGGCTTATTTGTGCAACTTCTTTTTCTATCGGAGCATTCCCCCTTCATTTCCCCCTTCATCTCTACATCCTAGAATCTCTACAATTAATTAATATTTAACTATTATTGTAAAGAAAATTTTTTATTTATATTAATTANTATATATATGTAGTGCCATTTCTGTAGTGCCATCTATAGTGCCAGTTCCTGTGCTGTAAGCTGATCTAGCTAGAAATCCAACCAAATTATGTAAGCTGCAAGTTAGACCCCGTCCGAAATACCCTAAGACACGAGAGACACGGGAGCGCGTTGTGGAACAAACCAAAAAAGAGACGCCTATGGATTCCAGAGAGGAGTAGCAATGATAATTTTCTTTTAACTTCACGAAGACGAACTCTTTTATTTTGATGTTATTTATGTGTTTGTTTATCGTCCATCTTTATGTAAATTTAGCGTTTAATATATGTTTTGTTAAAGTACAGTGTCTCTCATTTTCAAAGACGATCACTCATGCCGTCCCCACAAAATCAGAAGTGGGATCGAGAGCAAATTGATGGTGAAGAAATTAGATTGAGAAAAAATTGCTAGCAAAAATAAAAAAAATATTGGCGAAAAAATTGGATGCTGAATGGTTTCATTCTTGTGAAAGTAAGTAACCGAATGGCGTTGTGATGAAACTTTCGTTTCTTTTTTTTTATTTCATCTCTGCAACTACAATTGGGATACGTAAACTTTTATTCATTAATCAAAAATGATCCTTAACGATATTAAGCAAGTAAGCAAGGCATGGAAAAATTTTAAGAAAGACAAAATAAGACTTCTACATAAATTTATTTTCGATGTAGAAGGCGATCGTTCAAGCAGAAAACGATTAAGAACTTTTACTGGTTTCAATTTTACTTTAGACAGCGAAGAATTTCAAAATAAATTAAAAAATATTGAAAAAGAATTCACTCTTAAACAACTTATAACACTTTCCAATATTCTAAATATTTCGTACGAAGACAATGAAACCGAAATTGCAATAAACATGTTGAAGTTATTAATGGATTTGAGTAAACTGGCAGAGCTCGCCAACAGCGCCAGCGCGTCTAGTTCAGAGTCGGACGAAGACATAAGCAATCCTCAAAGTGAAACTGAGCCTTTGAATAAAGAGAAGGAACACAATTTTCCAGTGCTGAGCAATGATGAAAATAAAAACAGTAATTCATGTTTAAAAAATAAAAATAATTCCTGTAGAAATTTTGAATTTCAAAATGTTGCTATTAATTATTCTGATATCGAAAGTACTATTTCTAAGTATAATGCAGGATCGCATGAAAATATTGTTCATTGGATCGAACATTTCGAAAATATTTCAAAATTGTTTAATTTGTCAGATTTACAAAAATTTATTTTTGCCAAAAGAACTCTTGGTGGTAACGCCTCTTTATTTGTCAGAACTGTACCGGAAATAAATTCATGGCGAAAATTAAAAGAAGCTTTGATTGATGAATTTCCTTTTGAAATTAATTCTGCTAATTTGCATGATCTTTTAAGTAGACGTAGAATGAAGGATTATGAATCGGCTCAAGAATATTATTTAAAGATGAAAGAGAACTGTAATTTCGGAAAAATAGACGATGCTGCTTTTATGCATTATGTAATTAAGGGGATTAACGATAAGCATGAAAACAAAATTGTTCTGTACGGCTGCAAAAATTTGTCCGAATTTAAAGAGAAACTTAAATTTTATGAAATAATAAAAAGTGATTCCGCAAAGAGTAAAAATGCTTTCGATAAAATCAGAACAAAACATGACTTTGATAGAAAATATAATTCTTATGATAGAACAAAAGCAAAATATGATGATAGGTATAATGTAAGAAAAGATTTTTCAAATAGGAATAAAAATAAATATGAAAATAATAATGAAAATATAAGGTATAATACTGATGTTGAAACTTTTAATAATAAATTGTGTTACAATTGTGGTTCAAGAAATCATATTTCAAAATATTGCATACATAAAGATAAGGTTTTAAAGTGTTTTAAATGTGAAGCGTTTGGACCCAAAGCTTCGCAATGTCCAAAATCAAATGCAAAAACGGAAGTTGCTACTTTAAATGTTAGTGAAGAGCCAAAGTTGTTTAAAATGATAACAGTTAATAACTTAACTGTGAAGTCTTTGATTGATACAGGAAGTCAAGCCACTTTAATCAAAAGATCAATTTTTAATAATTTAAACTCCAAGGAACTATTTCCATTTAATTCTACTCTAAACGGATTTGGTAAATCAAAAGTGACTCCGTTAGGTTATTTTAAAGAAAGTATTAAAATTGATGATTTCAAATGTTTGGCTGAAATATGTGATGTAGAAAATGATATGATGCCGTATGACGCTATTATAGGCCTTAATGTCTTAATGCACGGTGAAACAATAGTCAGTGAAAAGGGTATCACAAATAAAAATAAAATTCCTTGTTTTGATGAAATAAACTATTTGTCTATTTCACCAATCGATCTTACTATATCTCATGAGGCTGAAATTAACATAGATCCTTGTGTTCCTAATGTTTTAAAAAATAAGTTACAACAATTAGTTTTTGATTATGCGCCAGATAAACTTAAGACAACTAATGTGGAAATGAACATTTTGGTTAAAAATCAGGAACCGATATTTCACCAGCCACGTAGATTGCCGTTTTCTGAAAAGAAGACAGTTGAAGCTCAAGTCGTTGAATGGTTAAAACAAGGAATAGTGGAGCCCAGTTCTTCCGAATATTGTAGTCCCGTTGAAATAGTTAAGAAAAAAGACGGATCTCCTCGTATTTGCATAGATTATAGAAAATTAAATAAGATAATTGTCAAAGACAGATTTCCTCTCCCATTAATTGAAGACATTTTAGATAGACTACAAGACTAGAAAATTTTCAGTACAATTGATCTTAAGAACGGATTCCTACATGTCGATGTAAGTAAAGATAGTAGAAAATACATTTCTTTTGTGACACATGAAGGACAATATCAATTTCTTAATGTTCCTTTTGGACTATGCAACTCTCCCGCTGTATTTCAAAGATACATAAACACCATTTTCCGAACTTTGATTAATGAGGGTATAGTTTTACCATATTTAGACGACATAATTATTCTGTCTTCCTCTCTTGAAGAAGGTATTGAACGACTTAATCGGGTTTTGAATATTGCTAATGAATATGGACTTGATATTAATTTCAAGAAGTCCCATTTCTTAAAGAAGAGCATTGAATTTTTAGGTCATGCGATAGAGGATGGAAAAATATTCCTATCTACCTTGAAAACCAAAGCAGTTCTTAACTTTCCGGAGCCAACAAATTTGAAAAAAATTCATAGTTTTTTGGGATTGACCGGATACTTCAGAAAATTTATTCCGAACTATTCTATAATAGCTAGACCGCTGAGTGACCTGCTAAAAAAAGATCATAAGTTAATGTTTAGCATTGAAGAAAAGAAAGCGTTTAATCAATTAAAATCTTTGTTAGCCCAAAATCCTGTTCTTTCAATATATAACCCTAAATACGAAACCGAGTTACACCCAGACGCCAGCTTAGAAGGATATGCTGCCATTTTAATGCAAAAACCCCCTGATGAAAAACATTTTCACCCCACTTACTATATGAGTCGAAAAACGACTGATGCTGAAAAAAAATATTCCAGCTACGAACTTGAAGCTCTTGCTATCGTAGAAGCCCTCAAGAAATTTCGCATCTATCTGTTAGGTATTCCATTCAAAATAATTACTGACTGTGCTGCTTTTGAAAAGACTATGCCAAAACGAGATTTGTCGACTCGTGTAGCTCGTTGGGCACTTTTGCTGCAAGAATTCAACTACATAATTGAGCATCGTTCTGGAAATAAGATGGCTCACGTAGACGACCTTAGTCGATCTCCAATTAATGTATTTTGTGTTACCATCGATAATATTTCACCAGGACTCAGGTCAGCCCAAGATAAAGATACTGGAATTAAGACTATAAAAGAACTACTTAAAATTT